GTGGTGAACAGCTCTTGCATTCAATGATTACAGACTTAGTTCCCAGAACAGCACAGCTGAGGAAGCAGGCAGCTTATTAATCTCCAGCTGCACACATTTCCCCAGCTTTGAGGCACTGCTCACAGGATGTCTTGAGGATAAATCAGTCGGCATCATTTGAAATGTGGTCTTTTCCTTACTGTTAGCAAACGAAATTGGAGAAAAGAGGGATGAATATCTGCGAATAGTTACTGTTTCCATTGGTATCTTTGACTTCCAGGATATTCCTTTTGGAACCAAGTATATCTTCTTCATCTGAACTTCACAGAATGGCCTCCCCATTCCTTCTCCAATGGAGGGAAACAGCCCAGGGTTAAGCAGTAAGAAGCAAAAGGAGACAGGAAACCCTCCAGCTAGAACTTTGTAAAAATGGTGTCGCCTGACTGCTTGTATCATAGGAATCTAGGAGAGCCTAAACACGCACAGACCCCCAGATGAAACTACCTGGGGAAAGGTTTGCGAATCTACATTTTGACGAGTGCCCTTGGTGCGACTTTGGAAAGCACTGATATTCGGCATGTTATAATCACACAAGGGATGCCACGTATTGTTGGCATGTCCTGTCAGTAGTTTGTATCTACAGCAGAGATGCAGGGCACAAGAGAAGCAGAAGCCAAGCAAACAACTCTCTAGTAATTGTAGAGCCGGTTAATGCAAGTGAGCACCAAGTAATACTCTATAGCCTGGTCAGTCCGTCCACCTGGAGACGTGGACAGCATCAGCAAGGTCTCCCACCAAGAGAAGCTGTGCCTGCATGTCTCGCACCTGAACATGGCTGGAGGTGGGTGGAGGTCAAAGGTTAGTGATGGATGGAGGAAATGGGGGATGCAAGCAGAAAGATAATCTGGGGTGGGAAAAATCAATGAGAGAATTGGGTCAGTCAAAATTTCATCATGGAAGGGAAGAAGGCCAATGAGTCCCCACCCCTCCTGAGGAACTAGTGACAGTTAATAGCATCAGGCAGGGAGAAGAGGTAGAACATCATCATCATCATCATCATCATCATCATTATATTTTATATACTGTGTTATAAAATTATATTTTATATACATTATATTTTATATAATCACACAGGAATGCCACAGCGCATCTATGGACCTCACAGGACAATCTGCAAGTAAGTTTTCTCCTACCTTGTTGTCTCCAGGGATCAAACTCAGGCTGTCAAGCTTAGCAGCAAAGGCCTTTAACAGCTGAACTATCTCACTAGTCCCTAAGGGGTGGCGCTGTCTCCAGTGGTGTGGTCACTGGTAAGCTGCCCGTGCTCCAGTAAAGAACCTCTCACCCATGCTCACACAGCCACCTTAACTCAACTCATTGGGACACACACACGTGTACACACACACACACACACACACACACACACACACACACACACACGCACGCACACACACCATCAGAATAGGAGGACTTGTTGGGAAGCAGTTTCGTCAGGAGTGGGGATGAGAGAAAGTAATGGGGAGTAAACAACCAAAATTCGTTACATGGATTATGAAATTGGCAAAGAATTTTTTAAAAAGCAGAGTGAGAACCTGGCTGAGCTGAAGAGCTGTGGTGCTTCTCTGTGTGACTGGAAGGTGGGGACCGGGAGCTGGAGGGACAGCAGGGGCATGTCACAGCTGTACAAACTTCCCTTCCTTCCTTCGGGAAAGAGGCGACGTCGAGTTTCTATCGCTAAGACGCATGAACAAATATCTCAACTCTACTAGGCCTTGGTGTTTTTTGTTTTATTCTCTTCCTGATCCCACTGCAAATCCCAAGCAGATGCTAAAAATAGCTGGCGTGATGAGACTGCTCCATTTCCACCGTTTGCCTCTTCAGCTATGATTATGTTCAGGTTGTGACTGTGTTTAGTCAGTTAATTTCAATCAAATCCATCAGGCATTCATTTCCAACACACACACATTCTTATTCCTCAGAAGTATTATTATAACTGGTTTGTTATCTGCTCTACTGTTGAGTCAATGTATTTAGTTATCTATCATTATATAACCAAACATCCCCAGACTTAACAGCCTAAAGGACCCATTTGCATTTGCTCACTCTGTGAGAGTCAGCCTTAGCTGGACAAGGTTTCTGCCAGGCTAGCTTGGTGGCTGGTGGGCTAGGCTGTTTCCTTCAGCTCATCACGAGCGGATTCGCCATGGGCTGGCTTGGGGCAGAGCTCAGGTTCAGATGCGGGGAAGGGAAGGTTTTATATAGGCCTCTTCACAAGGTTTTTCCAGCAAGAGTTACCCTTATAGCTTATTACTGTCATATTAGTATTATAATTATTATTATTATTATTAGAAGGGGGCAGGGAGGGAGGAAGGGGAGAAAGAGAAGGAGGGAGGGAGGGAGAGAGAGAAGGAAGAAGAGAGACTTAACTTTGGGTCACAACTGCTGGGTAGGCATCTACCAATAAGCTCTATATCCACCTTCTTTTTCATCTTTGTTTTCAGACAGGCTCTTACTAAGTTCCTAGGTGGGCCTGATCTTCCTGCCTCAGCCTTCTGAGAGGCTGGCCTGGCAGGAGTGACCTTTTTGAGTGGCAGCTAAGGTTCTCAAAGCACCAGGGCAGAGCTTCCCAGCGCCTCTTAAGGCCCCTGAGCTGACCTGGTGCACCTTCTGATGAATTCCCCCGGAGAAAGGGATCTATGAACCTAGATTGATTCCTGGAAGGAGCATGCACAAAGGCTTGGCTAACAGGAGGTGCTGTTTGTTGGATCTTTCATAAACCAAGCTGTAGCTGTTGGCTCTCCGGCCTCTACTGGCTCCCAGCTCTCCACATAGAAAATGTCCTCAGGCTCCTGAGACCTAAGAGAATTGAATCCTTTTCTGCAACAGTCTCAGCCTCAAGGTTTAGACCTTGTCATCTAATCAGATCCTGGTGTGGATGGGGTGTCTCAGGATCTGAAGCAGCCAACTGTGCCTCCCTGAACAGCACAAAACAAGCTTAGAGACTCTCGTCCTGAAGGAGGGCTGGGCCGGAGGACTAGTTTAGTCAGGAAAGTTCTCGCCTTCCAAGCATAAGGACCCTGAGTTCGATTCCCAGAATCCACATAAAACATGCCAGGTGTGATGGCACATGCTTGTATTTCCGGAGCTGGGGAGTAGAGACAGGCAGGTCCCCGGGGCTCACTGGCCAGCCAGCCTAATACCTGCCTGGCAAATTCCAGGCCAATCAGAGACCCTGTCTCAAAAAATAAAGGGAAGAGCTTGTGAAAAATAACGCCCCGATTGTCCTCTGGATGTATGTGCACACACATACACACTAGCACCTGCACACTTAGACACACACACAGAGGGAGGAGGGGGGAGGAGGGGAGGGAGAGAGAGAGGGCACATGCAGGGAATGCTGGTAGACAGCCATTCTGAAACCCAGCCTGGTGCCTGTCACCCCATCCCATCTGCTCTAAGGACAGCCGCGGTCCCGGGGGGGGGGAGGGGGGGGGCTTCTCCACCATTCCTGACACTGGCTTCCAGATAGTCCTTCTTTTAGGAAAATCAACAGCTTATTTCTAGATCTAGATAGATTTCCCATTCTGGTTCCTGCATGTTGAGCCTAGAGGCCTCTTCATTTTTAATTGTCTGTTCTTTTTACTCTCTCTCTCTCTCTCTCTCTCTCTCTCTCTCTCTCTCTCTCTCTCTCTCTCATAGTACTAAGAATTTAACCAGGGCCTCGTGAGTACCAGACATAAGCTCTGCCACAGAGCTATGTCCTCAACCCTCTTTTTACTTTTTATTCTCCACACAAGTCTTGCTAAACTGTCCCTGCTGGCTTAACTCCCTCTGTAGCCCAGGCAGACCTTGAACTTGTGATCTTCCTTCCTCAGCCTCCCGAGAAGCTGGAATTACAGGCCTGTGTCACCAGGCCTGGCTGGCTCTGTTTTGATAATATGATTTTAGCTCAGCAAACACATGTGAGATTCTTATGATGCTTGCCAGGCTCCTTTCCATTAGAAAAGAGCCATCAGATTTTATTTGCGATAAGCCTCTCTGTTTGCAGGGTTGTTAGTGCTGTGGGAAGATGCCCTTACATTCTTAGAAGCTCGTGTGTCTAGAGGCTTGACTGAGGTCCACTCTCAGAAGATCTCATAGCCATGACTTCAGAACCGATTCCATTTTCCCTGCGCTTTGGATTTGCACCCCACCCCCACCCCAAGCAAATCTGCAAACTCTGCAGACTGGATGACAGGCAGGTTTATTCACTAAATCTGTTCAAGGCCCAAGTTGGAAAGCTTTTCTGCTCTGATGCTTTCGCTTTCCAGCTTTTTCTCTGAGTCATATGTGGCCAAAAGCAGGCAGCTAGCACTTGCACCATTCTGGAAACAGTTTCTGAGGCTACCAAGTTCTTTGGACATCTTTTCTGTCTTCCGCCATGAACATATTGCCAAACTTCCAACCGCTATACACCATAGGTTGTCTCCCCTCCAGACTCGGATACCACTTCCTCCCAGCACTTTCAGCCTTCACTGGGGGTCCCCCTGAGGCACCTCCAGTTCCACCCACTACCCAGTTCCAAAGCCAAGAGTAAAGGTTTTGTTATGACAGTTGCCTACATCCAACTCCTGACTTTTGTTTGGTTAGCTATTGCTATGTAACAAATTCAGCTTAAAATGGCAAGTGTGTGTGTGTGTGTGTGTGTGGGTGTGGGTGGGTGTGTGTGTGGGTGTGTGCGCGTGCGTGCGTGTGTGTGCGCGTGTGTGTGTGTGCGTGTGTGTGCGCGTGCGTGTGTCTGTGTGTGTGCGTGTGCGTGTGCGTGCGCGTGCGTGTGTGCGTGCGTGCGTGCGTGCGTGCGTGCGTGTGTGTGTGTGTGTGTGTGTGTGTGTGTGTGTGTTTCCCACAATTTTGAAATCTAAAGAGAACCAATTTCTTCTGCTGGTCTTGCCCCGGTTCACCAGGGAGGGGAATCAGGCTCAGACTATGAGAGTCCACAACCGTCACAGTGAATGCGCCCCCCCCCAAAAAAAAAAAAAGCTGTGCTCAGTTTGGCAGCACATATACTAAAATTGGAGCCATACAGAGAAGATTAGCATGGCCCCTGTGCAAGAATGACATGCAAATTCCTGAATTGTTCCATATTAAAAGAAAACAAAAACATAAGCTCCAAGACATCATTTCCTCTCAAACATCTGAGCAATCTGGTTTCACACAAGAAAGAGGATGTGTCTGGAAGGTTTCATAGATGAAGGTCTCTTTTCCCTGCTCTGGGTGTTTAATGCTGTTGTGAATTTAATAAAGTTACTCCATTGAAAAGGCCACTGCTCTGCAATGTCTTGCTGAAAAATAAATCCGAGGGATAATCATCTTTTGCAGTCTAGGGGAATGGTTCAACAAAACAGCCAGTCAAGAGAAGACCTAGGACTTTGTTCTAAACATTATTCCAAAGACGCTACAATTGTTCCTTAGGCACCCAGAAATCCTGAGGAGACCCAAATCATCACACCTCAGTGGAGCTATGTAAGGGGTCACAATGCACAAGTAACTTCAAAACTGTGTTTGATCCGGGCTCTTTTGGGTGGCACTGAACTTTAACCAAAGACGTGTTGGATGAACTGAGATTTCAATACTTAAAACAACTGGATCATACAGCTTAAAGTACCTAAAGAGACAGAAAATGGAACGTTTTCACTTCTTGTTATTCTTCGGCTTAAAACTATGCATCAGGGTCCTTGTTTTTTTTTCAAACATTTTACTTCTAGGCTGAAAGGAAAAGAAGGTGTCTGTTGATGGACAGGTTCCAGAGAGATCGCAGCCAGTGCCCAGCTCCTTCTCAGAATGAAGGAGCTGTCCTGGGGCATCACCATAAATACCAAGGACAGAGAAGTGAATTAGCTAAGAACACGTTTGCACTCAGGAGCACAGGGCTGTGGCCTAGAATGAGCATCAGAGGAGTATATTCCCTCCCAGAGGCCCACAGGACCGGGGGACTTAGCATGCATTCAAATCGATGTCTTGCCCTTGGAAGCTGCCCTCTGTATTTCACTTATATTTTTCCCAAATTGGAGTAATTCAAGAGTTGTACTTAATGGGTTATTTTACATTAAGTCTCGCTGCAAAGTATAGATGACTACAAATTGAATCAGAAGACTCCACTGCCCAGTATGCTAAAAAGGAAGAAACTGTAACGTATTCTAAGATCTTGACTGCAGCACTGTGAACCGTGTAAGGCATTCAGAATATACAATTGTGGGGCTTGCAGAGGGTGGGAAGGCCATGGGGCTCTGTGGAACCATGCTCCTGGGGACACTTCTGCTGACCCACCTCCCTCATAACCACTGCTCCCTGGACACTGAACACACAGGTAAAGGTAAGTGCAGAAAATATCTGCTGTGAACAGCCATGGGTATTCTTACCAAGAAAGGCTGAATCTCAGTTAAACTGCTTACTGGATTTTGAGTGGGAAGGATATTGCAGGCAGATGTTACTGTGGAATGTGAAAGTAGCCAGCACCCAGCCCCGAGATGTAGCCTGGTGAGAAAACACGCCAGACCTCAGGCTGCATGCAATAGATGATGGGCTAGTGATAGCAAAACACGCTGAGACAGAAAGGCTAAGCAATCCAGACACGCTGGCTCATCTCCTCTACAACAGTCTCCTCAAGATCTGAACTCAGAAAGGGAAAGGAGCTTGGGGAAAATGAGTTAAGATGATTTTAACCTTGACTGCCCTCCTAAAGTGGTTCATTTTCTACACAGAGAAATGCAACTTATAAAAGAGTGGCGCTGCTGGGCGGCGGTGGTGGCGCACGCCTTTAATCCCAGCACTCGGGAGGCAGAGGCAGGTGGATCTCTGTGAGTTCGAGGCCAGCCTGGTCTACAGAGCGAGATC